TAAGATGTTACTGTTGAGTTCTTTTCTTACTGAATCTACTTCTTACACGCATGCAAGCGATCGTCTCCCATTGCTGTGGAAGCCAGATCGCGCGTGAGTGCGTTAATTCTTCAACAGACATGGAAATAAATGTGGTCGAAGGCGGTAGTCATTACGTGTGTGTGTGTGTGTAGTACCAGGCGGCCAAACATGCTCGCTTGCTGGTAGTGCTTTGTGACCGTGTGTTCGTCAATTGTAACCTACGTATCAGAACTGCCGAAGTTATGAATGTTGTATTGGATATACGCTTCGGAAAATTTATTAAAACAAAATTCGTCTTTTTTTTCTTTCTTAAACATGTGTTAAAAAAACTAATCGGGAAATAAGAGTTCGTTTTCTTTAAGGTAAACACGAATTTCCGTTTTAATTTATCTGATTTATTTACAAAGCAAACAATTTCCTTTAACCTGTGCGTATGACACCCAAAATTAAATACAAGAAAAATCAACTACTGTTTTTTTTCCCCATTAATTTAACCCAGTAAACTAACCCTTGATTTAAAGAGGTTAAGATTAATGTGTTCAGGGAGCATCCACATGGGAGTCTGTTCACCAAAGTGGCAGTTCTTGGAGAAAAAGCTGCCGGAATGGATAGACCTTTCTTTTTATATTAGGAACAAAAAGGAAATAAGGATGATTCAACTCTATGGAAGTAACATAATGTGTCCTAGCAGCAAATTTCTGAACTGGTGGAACTAAAAGAATAAAGATTATCCAAATCGAGGTCTTAATAACTCATCAATCACAGCCAGTTTTCTAATTCATAAGCTTAGCTAGTTGCTATAATACAGGATTTTACAAGTATAAACATGTTTAGTCCATCTCAAGTATATTCAATCTTCAGGCATTTGCTAACACTTAATTTGATTTAGTGATTGCAATGGAAGCAGGATTCGTTATTACATATAAACTTTCACGCGAGACAAAATATTCTGTGATATTTTTTCAAAGTCCTTCATTGTATCATAAAATAAAGTCGACAGTTATGCATGTGACAAACCATACAACATTTCTCTATATAAGCAAATCTTGCACACCGTTGTAATAACTGAACCTCAATGAATATGCTACAGTTACGGCTTTGTGTCGCATCAAATTAAGCTTATAAAAGCCTACAAAATAAACCCTTAAACTGTTTATTCGCGCTGTCACATTTACAGTTAGTTCTGGAGTATCCAAAACGATAATTCAAAAACTGACTGTCTTAATGTTTATAAAATAAAATTAAAAAAAAAATGATTCTGTAATTGTCAAGTCGTTATTAAGTTATAAGGTAGTTTACCAGTCTTTAAATCAACCATTGTAAAACGGTTCTTCAGTAACTAACCAAATAGTATTTTATTTTACTGGTAATTTGGTTGTTTATTACATAGCTATCAAAAATACCACTATCAATAATTAACCAGGCAGTAGTGTTACGAATAGTAACCTATAATAAATATATATATATATATATATATATATATTTACTAATGTCAATACTGTCTGAAAACACTACAATAAATTTAATAATGCGCTTCCCTTGCAATGACATTTTAAAATGTTATGAAAAGTTTCCTGATGAGTTCTCGGCCTAACCAGTGTTCCTAAGTATGGCTAAATGATCTGGCATAAGAGGAAAAGCTACTTGGGCGGGCGATGATGTTTCTAGTACAACATCGTCGTATTAAAATTGGTTGGGGTATTTGGAGATTGTTTAAAATAGAGAATCCTCTATAAATGTCATATAAGAAAAGAATTATAGTTTTAAAAATACAATGTGAATGCTCATGAGATTAAAAAAAAATGAGATGAAAATCAATCAAACTGTCTAGTGTATTTAGTTATTGACAAGATTAATAAGCATTGAATGTTAGGATTCAACTACGAGTTTTTTTAAGAGTTATATTCATTCTTTTCTCAGCAGGAAGTTTGGGTCGAATTAGAATAGACCGACAGAATGATATGAAGATTGAAGTTAAACGTTATGATTATATATATATATATGTGTGTGTGTGTGTGTGTGTGTGTGTGTGTGTGTGTCCAGGTAAGATGAGGACGAATAAAGTACAATTCCAACGTTCGTAGATGTAATTAAAAAGAGGACTCAATACAGAGTAGAGCAATAAAATTTTTTTTGTTTTAGGATATTAAAACATCGATACACGATTGCAGTGTTGTTTCGACACATATCAATGCGTCCTCTCGGGCGATTTTTATATATATATATATATCTCACACGGGGCGCTCCGAAAGTAATAAAGAGGCGGATGCTGGTGGTATGACAATAGAGGTTGAACTTTTACGCCAGTAAAATACTATTTTTTTTTTTTTTTTTGTCGTCTGACAAAATTTCGTTATGAATGAACGTACAAAACATATCACAGTGAATTCTTTCATGCAGAAAAGAACTCAGATCCACTGATATTTATGAAAATTTACGGAAACCAAACAAGGGATACGAGCACAGTTAAGCAGTGGGTAATGTGGTGACAATGATATATGGAACTGCTCAGCTGTTAAAGAAATATTTATTTGAAAGTGTATAGCCTTATAGTGGTAAATATTCGGAAAAATAGGGCTTCATAACCGAAACCTAGTCTATACAACAGTCGATTTGTCTTTCGTTTCAAGTGAAATAAATAGGAAATATTACTTTTAGAGCACTACTGTGTATGCGTGTCCGCGCAGACTCTCACACACACATTATATATATATATATATATATATATATATATATATAATGTCTCAAAAATTTGCATCTACTAAAAGGTCCACATAGTATTTTCATCTAATTGTACTGCTATTTGTCGATGTTAAAAGTTCATGGAAATTCACATTCAGCCCCATATCCTGTCTATTAACGTCTGTGTATTGGATGCCGCAAGTGAAAACAAACGTTGCGTAAGGCTTCATCGGAAGCCATCAAAGACAGACCAGACAAAGAAGAAAGCCCCTGACTGTAGCCTGTGAAGAACTTCGCAGATTTGGAAAGTGGATTATTCCACTGAGTGATTCACTCGCTTCCTTTTTCTCGGATAGTCAGATGAATGGACCATATTATGGCGGATACTTGAGAATTTGACGCTTGGTGAACTGACCAGCGATTCAACACGACTGAACTGTACACTACCCCGTCTAGTATTTTATGAAATTTAAGTAATTTTACATTATATTTATTGTGATACAAAAGTCAACCACATTATTTGGATTTTATACGCTTACAACCTACATAACACTGTCTTTCTGTTCTCTCTCTGAAGTTCGTGTGTGTGTGTGTGTGTGTGTGTGTGTGTGTGTGATTCAGTTGTATGCATATGAATTTGTGACCCTACGTTTCGCCCCTTTTGCTATCATCAGTCAATTGTCTGATGATCGCAAATGTGTGAAACCCAGGATCACAAACTCATATCCTTACTACTGAATATATTAGCTTTATTGCTGATACTGAGTACTTTCCAATACATACTGCATATAATTATATATATATATATATATATATATATATATATATATATATATATATATATATATATATACACACTTTCATGGAAATTGCTCCGAGGAGCTGCATTCGCTGGTTCCCAGACTTCATGAGTTCAAGCGCCCTACGAGGCTGGCATCCCGCTCTCACCCCATCACTGTCGAAACTTCTAAATGTAGCCGTCTCTTCTACTCTAATAGCTTCATGTCTCGCACCTCTCGCCTGTTTCCCTGTGAGTTATAACCTCCAGCTATTCAAGTGTAATGTCAATCGACATCTCCAGTTGCCCTAATCTATCTACTACCCTCATCCTATCTTCTATCACTCCTATCTGATCTTCCTATTTTCTGTAACCCCTTGCGTCCTAGTGGCTTCCCGCCTTGCTTGGGGTGAAATGCTTAAATATATATATATATATATATATATATATATATATATAAAAGAGAGAGAGACACACTTCAAAGGTTATTTTTAGTGGATGCCTGTGTTTGAAATAGAAGCCTGTGTATTATGTCTCTCATCGCGTGCACTGGAGAAAACTTACTCTCTGGCAGGACATAAACCTGTGTCCCTCTTTTTAGGAGAAACCACACTGGTTCGAAAGCTGCAGAAAAGCATATTTTTGTTTCAGTTTTCTCATGTGCGCAGACAAACAGACGTAATAAACCCTGTTAAAAGTAACTATAAAAACAGTCTTCTTTAAACATGGGTATCCACAAAAATAACATTTGAAGTATTAAAAATGTCGGATAAAAAGTAAAGCCAATAATTCTTTAGAACATACACACACACACACACACACATGTATGTTGCGTGGGGGGGAGTATAAATACATACATGTTTAGCAGCTTAATACTAATAATCAAGTCAGATTTCAGGAAAAAAAAAACTTAGCTTCTTGGAAAGGATTTCACTTTACACGTTAAACATTATTTGACGGATTCTCTAATTTATCCTTCACATTCTCACGTGATGACCCTCAGGTTGGGCATTATTCCTTATTATCCTCAACCCTATTTAATAAATAACTTATAGATTTCAATTGCTGTGCTAAATAAAGTTTAAACACTTCTCGTGTGTGTGTATGTGTGTGAAATGAGTAAAAAAACGTTATATGTTGAGAGCAAGTAAATTTAAACCGAATGTGATGAATAAATGCAAATTAACGTGTCGCTGTTTTTACACATTAATTCATCGCACATAATATAAATGTACGAACAGGTTTTGATAAAGTAGAGTATATATAGGGAGATTATGAGCTAAGGAAAACTAATTTTGTATGACTAGGATTAGAATAATACTAAATTAAAACATTTATGAATGAATTAGGATTGAATTGCGATACATGCACAAGGGAAAGGTATAAAAAAAAATCAGCGAGAAAAGAACCAAAAGGGTAATATTTTTAAATAAAACAGAGCGAACCAAATATTATGTATGATGAAGAAAGAGAGAAATGAAAAGCCTAAATAAAATTAAAAGGAACATAGAGAAAACATTCAAAGTACGAAAGAAACAGAGAAATGCACTTCAAGTAAGACAGGATGAGAGAGGAACGAATCAGGAGAGAGAGAGAGAGAGAGAGAGAGAATGCAAGACACTGTCCCAAAAAGTGAGAGAGAGCATGACAATGCAAGTATTACAGAGAGAAGGGGTGTGGATAAAGCCACTGCAAATAGAGAGAGATGAAGAGGGGACAAGGCTGCAAGTAGCACATCATGATGCTAGATACTGCATGTAACACGCCGTGATAGTGAGGAATATATATTGCAGCATTAAGAAAAAGGAAGGCACTGCAGATCATAAATGTGCGAGAGAAAAGAGTAGAAATTACAAAAGTAACACAAAGTGAATACCAAGGTATGTGGACTAAGAGAGTGTAATGGCAAGACACTGCATATATCATAAACATGTAACAGAGAGAGAAGGAAGACACTGCACGTAAGAAAAACTGGAAGAGAGTAAGATATTGAAGACAATGGAAGAGATGGGAGCCAAAGACAAAGTAAGAGGAAGAGATGGGAGCCAAAGACAAAGAGGCAATGGAAGAGGGGCCAAAGACAAAGTAAGAGGCAATGGAAGAGATGGGAGCCAAAGACAAAGTAAGAGGCAATGGAAGAGATGGGAGCCAAAGCCAAAGACAATGGAAAGTAAGCCAAAGGCAATGGAAGAGAGATGGGAGCCAAAGACAAAGTAAGAGGCAAGGCAATGGGAAAAGATGGGAGGCAATGGAAAATGGGAGCCAAAGACAAAGTAAGAGGCAATGGAAGAGATGGGAGCCAAAGACAAAGTAAGAGGCAATGGAAGAGATGGGAGCCAAAGACAAAGTAAGAGGCAATGGAAGAGATGGGAGCCAAAGACAAAGTAACAACAAACGTCTTGGGCTCCAGAATCTAAGTAACAATGTTGGAAGCAAGACATCACAAGTAATACTGAGGAACGGATGAAGACAATCTAAGTCTGGGAGATATTAAAATGGCTAAAAACCATTGATGACAAAATGGCACGGTTAATGCTTCCGACAAAGTAGTTGGAACAATCGATATTTGTCCAGAGTTATTTGCTGGATCTTTTTGAATGGTTTCTAAAATACTTGCTAAGAAAACGGGCTTCGGCTTTGTCAGTCACCCGTACTTCTCTCTTCGCCACGTTTGAAAGACTCGAATCATCTCGAAACAAAACACTTTATCGTGTAGGATGGCGTATGCTTTTGGCCACAGCTTAATCTGTATAAAATTCAATTTTCTTTATTGGTTATAGGATCCATTTAGCTATTTATAGCAATCACTGTTTCTTTCAATTATGGATAGGTTGTAAAGTATACAATTTAGTAGACTCATATTAGGGATGAAATTCTAGATGTAACAATCGTGCTTGGCTGACTAGGTAAGACATTTTACACAATGTTATCTTAAAAACAATTTAACCGAATAAAAAGATGTGCGAATTCCGTCGTTAGCATCAGATCATGATGAAGTAACTACATAGATCATATCCTAGCTGAAACGTTTGGTTTAAGTTTTATGAATTCACATTTAAGTCCAGGTTTTCCGTGTTTTACAAACGCCAAGTGCACTGAGTAACTAAATGGGAAGGGATAGAATTCGAAATTTAATTAATATAGCAGTCAAAGATAATTTAACTAGACTCTCAAAAAGAGAATTGACTACTTGCAAAATTTAATAAAGCAAACAATTTCCTTTATGAATTGTCGAAAGTCGTTCTTAGCAGTGTCCAAGATTTGTTCACTTTACGTAAATTTGGTTAGAACCTATCAACAATTTAAAAATATGTGTGCCTATGACGAAGGTTAACCAAAATGTAACTACTTATAAAGAATATGAGGAGTAAATGTACATTCACTCCAATAAGGACAATGGAAGTTCATATATTTTCATTCTATTTCAATATCTGTCTATGCTGCGCTATAAAAGAAAAGACAATCTGAATGTATTTACACTCGTTAGACGTTAGAGCAGAACAAATACACTTCGATAATGTTTTATTTAACGGTTCGATTCATTTCATCGTACATTGGATCTTTGCTAGCGCTCTTTATATCTGAATGCCACAAGTTGTTTAGAAAGTTTCGTCATTTTCCTTTCATTGTTACAATACAGTCATCTCTGCTATTTACAGGCCCCCGTTATCAGTTATCTTTCACAAATAGAGTTCTTTATGCAAGATGAAGATAAACAGATGCTTTGGCGCAGGCAAATCACTTTCAATTCATGCGTACGCATATTAGGATTTTACTTTTCTTCATATTTAAATTTAATATATTCAAATATAAAAATGTTTTTATAGCTACATTTTTGGAATATTATACAAGAGATTCTCATAATTTTACTATATCTTCATCTATTTCTCTGAGATCATCAAACAATTGCGATATAACAGGAACAAAGAATCAAATATGTAGTCAGAAAATGAGTGGAAGAAAAAAGTGGTTATGATAAAGAAAATCTGGTATGTATTTATGCAAGAGGAATGTATCACTGGACAAAAGTTGGCCATCGAGACGTAAAAGATCAACCAGATTTCGATACCTACAAGTGCCAAACTCACTTTCAATGCACAGAGATTATTATATATATATATATATATATATATATATATATATATATATATATATATATATTGCTGACAGAAGCAAACATTGCTTTTTTGTTCTGCACAAAGTGTATATGCTTTATTTTATAGGAAATTGCTAAAAAACGTGTTTACAATTTCAAGGACAATGCCATTTTATTTGACAAGGCCTTTTGTTAATACTGGGAAACGAGGACTTTGAATAGAAAGAACTATGTTTTCTAATATGTCGTAAATGGTTACTTGGTCTTGAATTTATGTCTACTATTTTCGATTTTTAAACATATTTGAGGAGAAAATTTACTCCTCCAGATCCGTTCATTACAGCTTCAATTTAATTTAACAAAATATTCAGATTTTTCAATCAAAAGAGATTAAAAAAAAAAAAAAATCGAACAGTTCGAGTACTTACAAAATATACGATATATGCATTGTAAATAAAATTTGTATATAAATAATACAGCTATTGATTTTTGAGTGGAGAAAAGGTTGAAGATTTAAATTTTTTTTTTTTTTAATTACGTTTAGCGTTAAATTCTTGAGATCTTTTTTTTTTTTTTTTTACTAATTTTTATGGTTAATCGATATTCAGTAGTCGGATTAAAAGGATTGGAAATTTGTAAAGAGAGGAAAATACAGATAATCTGATTTCAAAGACGCAAAGTCATACACAATTTTCTCACCTGTAATAATAATAATAATAATAATAATAATAATAATAATAAACAGCTGTTGAATATGCAAGCCCATACAATCAAATCCCATCGCTTCGGAGTTAGGTAAGCACAAACGTGTTTGGGTAAGTCGAGTAAACAATTTCTAATTCTTCATACTGATGATTAAAAGAAATATCTCAAATGATCGAAACGTTGTGTAGGACAAAAACAAAATCAAGATATGGATGAGAAGTCAAATTATTCATTCACACCCGATAAGAATTCTTGCTGAAATTAAGTGACAAATAATACTTCGAAATGAATTTCATTTATCTAAACTGGTCACGATTGACCATATCAAACAGCAATGAGGGACGGAAAAAAATTATTTCAAGCAGTACTTAAACTACTAAATGCTGCTCAAAAAATAGAAATATCTTAAAATAAGCTACTTATAAATTTAAGGCAAGAATCAAAATTAAATTTACTGTGTTTAGAGAAAGCAACTGAAGATTAAAAGAGTAATTCAACATAGATAGGGTTTGTTTTTTGATGTTTCTATTTGATGTTAAATTCTTCTGATGCTACTAATCTATATACTATAGACTGATCAGCTTCGACATGAGTCCATTATTCAACATATACAATTTTTTTTTTTTTTTCAAAATAGACCATTAAATTTGTCAGGTAAATGTTTAAAACTTGAATAAGGCACAATACCGTATAAATATAAATAGACATTAAATAATGCTCTTTTTAAATTAAAAAAAAAGAGTGAAAATTGAAACTTTGATCTAGACAAAGATCTATCAAACAAGCTAGCAACAAAATTAACGTGATCATGTAAGTACAATTTTTACTGCCTCTACTTCGATAGAAAAGTTAAATTTTAAAAGATTTATATATATATATATATATATATATATATATATATATATATAAAAGCGATTTTTTGTGATTACCAATTTATGTAGTTATCGACATTAAAGAATTTTAATCACATTGTACACAGGAAACTACAGATTCTTCAAAACATATCTATGAATGACGTTTATGCAAAGCAGAAAAAAAGCGCAGTTCAAGCCCAAGGAAAAAGCCATACTTTCATATGCTGATTTTCAAAATAGGGATATCTACGAGAAATTGGGAGAGTAATTTGGCTTCTACTTTGTACTAGGTAAGTTAGCAAATACCTACGTTCATGAACAAAAGATTAACACTGAAAATATGTAACTAGTTGATGTAATTGCCATGTTGGCTCCTGGGAGATATATTAATACTAATAGGTATCTAACAATTTGGAATAAATATTTTCCGAAGTAACGGTATACTTATATATTTTCTTTTAATATCTACCTTGCAAATAGAAAAATATACTGTCTACATAGGTTTGTTGCAAAAAGCGAGTTTGCCACAAGCACAGGTTGAAAATAAGTTTTAGCGGTTGCTTTTCTAACATCGGTCAGTCTATGCGAAGCTTTATCATGGCATTACATAATATTGTGTTACTAATTCTAATATACGAACTTGGTAATACTCAAGCTACAAAACATGCACTTCACATACACACATATATATATATATATATATATGGTTGTCAGGAAATTCATAATTTTGAGATCAAATCAGAGTAAAGGACAGGATTTTCATAGGCGATTTTTTTTAGGTGTAACCGAGCATTCTCTATGCTTTAGTATATATTTATATGAATATATTTTCTACATTTAGCAAATTTACAGTTTGTTTATATATATATATATATATATATATAATGCGTGTGTTTATTGAAATAATAATAGTATTCTTATAATTCCAGTATAAGAGAAAAAAAAAGCGCAATATGCAAAAAACTGTCTTTATAAAATTTTACACGGGGTGGGGGCTGCAAGACCCATAATATATATATATATATATATATATGTATGTGTGTGTGTGGAAGCGAACTTCAGCTAAGGTCTCACACCTGTGAGGAACAACATTATCATCGAGTTCTAACGAGAACATTGGCAGAATGATCGTTACTGAAAGAATTTCCTTTGACAATGTTTGAGTTTGTTTTTGGAAGTCAGGAAATAAATTAAGTGTAATTTCTAGAAAAAAAAGGAAATTATGTATTTACAATAATTGAAAAGCTCTTTAAATAAAATGTATAAGTTTATATATATATATATATATATATATATATATATATATACACACACACAAGCGGGTACCAAGAAGTACTATAACCGACCCATTCCACGAAATCTGACCAAATATCAGAGAGTATTTTACTTTTTTGGTTGGTGGGGCTCGAATACACACACATATATATATATATATATATATATATATATATATATATATATATATATATATATGAAAGAAACTACTACGCTATTTTCCTTATACATTTTTATCGTTTTATGTGCTTGTATTCCCCTAATGGGAAAAATTTATAACTGTATATCTTATAACTATTACACATTTGAGATTTAGAAAATAAATTGACATTTCTTATTAGAATTAAAATCAAACATTTTATTCATATTTTTGTGTAAACACAATTGTATGAGAAAGGAGCAGCATTCTATGAAGATCTCATATTCGTAATGCAAAACGATACACGCAGTTATAAATCGCAGAGGGGTTGCTGACAGTCATCCGGCTGACCAAAGGGCGATTCCAAATTTA